CTCTGTCTCCTGTTGGGAGCTCCGTAAAGTTGCCTTCCTGTAATCCCTGTCTCAGTTCTTTGGTTACCATAGCCCAAGATGATGAATCTGACCAGGTTAGCTGGTATGAGACTTCCACTTCGTAGCTCTCCTTGTTCTCTGTTCTCTGTCAGTTTCTTATTCTATTTGGTGCTTGACCAAGTTCTTTATTCCTTCGTTTGGTACTTAGGGTTCCAGGATTGACGTTTGTATCTGTTTTACTTAGTTTTTCAGGTCTTTGCTGCAGGGGGATGGTATGGTGCTTCTGTCTATAGTGCCATGTTGGCTCTGCCTCCTGATGGAAGAACTTTAAGGAAAATAACCCCAAATTAGGTTTCTGTACTTGAAAATGATTTTACATTTATTGGAAAATAGTAAAAATAAGAAAATATGACAGTCTTCTGTCTTCAGCTAGTGTTTCCTTTGCAAGTTTATCATTATGAAGGAATTCATCACCACTAAAATAATTGCAAAGAATTTTGGGAATAAGAGTTCTCTATTTCATTTAGCTACTTAATACTGATTCCCTTGTATGAGGTTATGATGTACAGATCTTTCTGAGTTGCTGCTTTTTAAAGTCATACTGCTGTAACTTTTAGTTTTCTAATTTCCAGTAGAGGCTAATTATTTGACAAGATGAGAATTAAAACTAATGGCTATATTTTTTCTCCTATAGCCCTTCCCCACAAGATGGACAGATTATGTTTGATGTAGAAATGCATACTAGCAGGGACCATAGCTCTCAGGTGTGTGTGTGTTTATTTTTCTGATTTATAATAAAGAAATAGGAAATATGCAAAATATCTTTTAAGAAATACAAGTGTGTTTTGCTAAATATTTTAAAGAATAAGACTTTTTAATAAAAATAGTTTGAAGCTGTTTTAAGTAATTCAGTTTTTGACTTTGGAATTTATTTAATCGTTGTTGTGCTCCTTCTCTACTAAGAATTTTTGGATTTGTTGCCCTAAAAGAATTGGAAATTCCTGTATGTATCATTCCAGTGGAAACCCTGGTGGTATAGTGGTTAAGAGTTCGGCGGCTAACCAAAAGGTTGGCGGTTCAAATCCACCAGGTGTTCTTTGGAAACCCTATGGAGCAGTTCTCCTCTGTCCTGTATGGTCGCTATGAGTCAGAATCAACTCAACGGCAATGAGTTTGTTTTTTGTTTTTTTTTATCATTCCAGTATTCCAGGTTAGTTTCTTGAGTTTACAAATAGAAAAAGTGAAACAGGTATTGTCCTAGTCAAGGTCACAAAATGTGTTCTGAGGAACATTTACTCAGTGGGGATCTCTGTAACAGAATTCTGAAGTCAAATAAGTAGAAAATAATGCAGCCCCCAGGCTCCCCAACCTCCTACCCTAATAGTCACAGTACTTAGTAGCATATTTGTTGTTATTGTTAGCTGCCATTGAGTTGGCCCCTGACTCATGGTGACCCTATGTACAACAGAACAAAATGCTGCCCAGTCCTGTACCTTTCCCGTGATTGATTGCTGATTTTACAGGCTCTGAAAATTCTTACAGTAAAGAAATCTGTTTAATTAAACCAAGTGTTTCCCAAGCTTATTTGACATTAGTCTCCTTTCGCTCCTCCCCCACAAAAAAAATTTACCTAATAACCTAACAGAGCACTTTGATAAGGCTGTCCTGGCTCATGGAGTGGCAGGTATACAGTTAAACTTACTGAATTTAAATGGAATTCTGGAGCTGACTGCAACCACCCTAGTATTCCAGAGGAATTCATGAAATTCTGGAGAGAACATGTAAGACTTCTGACTTCTCTTTCAGATTGTGGTAGAATTGCCAGTATGACCCCCTATTCATGAAGAACTAAGTAAAAAAAACCATTATCATCAAGCAGGGGATAAGCTATAGTTATCAGTGAATTTTCAGTCAGTTTAAACAAGGTTAAATGTTGAAAACCAGTCTGACTCCTGTAAGAAAAATATTAGATCTGCTAGAGTAAGACTTTGGGTAAGGGAGAAATCAGTAGGTGTCATTTTTTTAGACTTTCAAAAAGCCTTTTACATTGCTTTTTTAAAATGAAGAAATAATTTAAAAATTACTTTGGGACTTAAGAGGATGGATTTTTTTCATTAATGAGAAGAAAGCTTAGCAATAACGAACAGTTAAAAACAGTGAACCAAGAACTGTCATGGTACTGTTCTTATTGAATATTTTCATATGTGCCCTATAAGAGGAATATATGGCATTTTCACACTTTTCTAGGAGGAAGGGAAAGGCACTAACATTTATTAAATATGCTCTAGGTGCTAAATTTATTTAAAAAAAAAAAAATTTTACCACTTCAATTAAATGTTTTTAGTCCAGTGAAGAGATGAGATTATCCCCCATGGACAAATAGGAAAAGTGAGACTTTGTTGTAATTAAGTTATTTATCTAGGATCACAGAACAAATAAGTGATAGAGCCATGACTGAAACCAAATCTGAGTGTGTGACCCTGCTCCTTCTATTAAAATGAACAGGATTGATGTCAGGGGACCTCACAAGATCATGAGAATGAACTGAAATACAGTTGGTTGAATTGTGGTATGGGGAAGCCTAAGGTGATTCATTTAGAAAAAAGATCACTCCAACTATACTTTTACAGTGCTAGTTTTTCTACAGCCTCAGTTTTGTAGGAGAAAACAGACTGTAGATTGTTCCCTAAAAATGTTTTCGCGGTGTGCTTCTGAGACCAAAGAGGCCAGTGGAATGTTGGATATCATTGGAAGGTGTTTTTGAATCGGACTGAAAATGTTGGCTTTTCCCTCTTGTAAAACTATGGTTTAGCTGTACATAAACCACAGTGTACAGTTTAATAACCCTGGTTAGAGACCTAAGAGAACTCGAGGTGGGCCAGAGAATAAAAAATAAAGTGATTACAAGATAAGGGACTTGCATATACAAACAGGCTAAAATGATCAGAATTGTCTGTATGAATAGATGTAGGCTTAGAGAGAGGGTTATTAATTCAGTTAACAGTGTGAATCTTATACACTTGAATTAAGTGCATTTTTGCAATATTCTGAAATCCTAAGAATTGGAAGGCAACCTGAAAATGGCAAATTTAGGATTAATAAAAGTAAGTTGTTGTTGTTGTTAGTTGGCATTCAGTCAGTTTCGACTCCTGGTGACCCCAAGTGTACAGGGAGATAATAAATGAGAGCTTACAGTCCTTATTCTCAAGGTAAGCATTCTAAACTTATCTGAGGATTTTTTTTTTAATATTAGTCCGAAGATAATTTTGCTTCAGTTAGGTGAGAGAAAAGTATATCATCTTGAAAAAAATATCTTATTACATTTTCATTGTGTTGGAAGGTATTAAATATTAACTTCAAATATTAAGTTCAAAAACTGCAACCTAAATCTTTGAGCAGTTTTAAAGAGGGACATATAAAACCAGAGTTGGAAACTGTAAACAGAAGTGCAATCTGTTGAATATAATCACACATTGTATATACACAAACAGATCTGAAAGTAAATTGTTATCTCTGATTTAATGTTTTCCGTGTTACTCCAGAGAGCCAACTCATGATTCTGAGTAATCTCAACACTCAAGAGAAAAAGCTTAATTCTAAATGCTACGTTGTATAATTTGGTGGAATTTGCCAAGTTTAGCAGAATTAAACAACTACCAGGATAGCAAAAATACACAGGGATTTCATTTTGATTTTGACAGTAAACGGGACTATCTAAAGGTACTTTCCCGGGACACCGATTTCACAGAGAACTAAACCCATTGCCATTGACTTAATTCCGACTCATAGAGACCCTTATATAAAAATTAATGGTGTACAACCTTTTAATTTTAGTATATTTCTGTCCAGGTTTATCTTTGTATTAGGAAGAATTGGTCTCCTTTTTTTAAATTTAAAGTTTAAATTCTTCTTTACAGTCAGAAGAAGAAGCTACAGAAGGAGAGAAAGAAGTTGAGACTTTGAAGAAAAGTGTAGAGTGGGTATCTGACTGGTCCAGTAGACCTGAAAACATTCCACCTAAGTAAGTTCTTACATGTTTCTTTTCGTGGGCACACCTGATCTATTTCACTCTTCTATGCAGTGGACCTGACAATTCCAAGGTATTTTCAGCAAATGCATTTCTGACACCTACCTCTGAATTTCTTTCTCCAGGGAGTTCCACTTCAGGCACCCTAAACGTTCTGTTTCTTTAAGCATGAGAAAAAGTGGAGCCATGAAGAAAGGGGGTATCTTCTCTGCAGAATTCCTTAAGGTGTTCATTCCATCTCTCTTCGTTTCTCACGTTTTGGCTTTGGGGCTAGGGTAAGTACCGGTAAACTCCTTAAGTTTTTTTCCTTTCATTTTATCTTCATGTCTTATCTCCAGATGTAAGAAGTATGTGTGAAAGCAGTTTGTATTACTTTGCTTTTAAGGTTTTAGTGCAGATAGGGTGAACTTAAAAGAATTATTAAAGTTGACATACTATTGGTCTACTAATAAGCATTTTTTAATAATAGGGTTTTTTCTTATTTGGAAATAAGATGTTCATGTTAATCCCCTAAATGTTAATTTTGTAGTGAACTCTTCTGTTTTGTTTTTTTCTTTTTGAGTTTTCTTTGGTTGTTGTTTTTGTTTGTAATTGTTCAAGATAAACTAAATTTTAAAGTAAAGTAATCTTCAGTGTGTAAATTTTGGGGTTGATATGAAGTTTTTTTTCCTACCATTACTTTGAATAGTCCTTGAGTCACATTGGTAGGTTAATTATGGGTGTTATTTTTTATTCTCTTAACTTTGTAGGGTTTTCACTTATTCAAAAATTAAGTTTTCAAGCATATCTTTTAGTTTTTTTTTTTAAATTTTGATTTGAACGATCGAAGAAATATATTCTTGAAAGATTTTAGGAGTTAAAAAGTAACTTAATTTTTTTCCAGGACCATATCTGTTATACTCTTTAATCATGCCCAGTGGATCATTTTCTGTATATAATATGGAAAAGATACATCATCCTTTACCTTCCCTTTAAGAAGCTCAGCATATCAGATACACCCCTTTTGTCTTTTTTGGGCACTTGATCTGCTTTTGTGAGGGCAAGGACAATAATCAGAAACTGTAAAATGGAAGGTATCTTTAGAGGAAGGGGAACGTGTGAACGTATGACGGTTGGTGTGGGGAAGGGGTAGGAATTTAAATTTCTCCACAGTGTTGACTGCACAGTAGTTCATTTGCCCTCCAGAGGTGTTGGTTTTTGTATATTGCAATATCATTTCCTTTCATGAACCTTCAGCCTGTTTCTCTTGCGGAAGTAAATGTAAGTGTTGCTATAGATGAATGCAGAAAAGAGGGTTAAAAAACGCTGGTTGCTTTTATTAAACTGAGAGATGTATCTAGTTCCCTGTTTTCCTTAACTTCTCTTCTGCTTAGTTATCCTAAGGGTAAAAACACTTAACATTTGGCATGGAAAAGTGATAATAGACCCTTAATCCTTAAGAGTTAAAACAGTAAGAACCCTCTTTAAAGCATGGGCAGCTTTATAAATTTTTTCTTACGCAGAGCACCAAAATTATTAGGCATGTTACTATATTTTGTATCTGAGATATCAACAGAACTTTCTGTTTTCCAAAAATAAACATCTCAAAGGCGGTTGACTGTGTTTTACTCTGGTGGGATCTGACTTGACTTTGTCTAATCACCGCCTTTGTGCTGTCCAGTAGCCAGTAGCCTTAACAAACATTATTATATAAAACCAGGTTGACTGGCTCGTAACTGGTTTTAAGTAAGTTACAGTAATAATTTCAGGATATTAGGGAACTCTGCACATATACCTTTAGAGCCTCTTACAAGGACTGAAAATTCCAGTTTTCAAGTAGATGTCAACATGTGGACAAGCTAGTGTGGAACTATTGAAAACAGATGAAACATGATGCACTCTGTTTCCTTTCAGCATCTATATTGGAAAACGACTGAGCACATCTTCTGCCAGCACCTACTGAGGGAAAGAAAAGCCCCTGGAAATGCGTGTGACCTGTGAAGTGGTGTTATTGTCACATTAGTTTATTTGAACTTGAGACCACTGTAAGCATGACCCAACCTACCACCCTATTTTTACATATCCAAGTTCCAGTAACTCAAAATCCAGTATTTTATTCAAACTCTGTTGAGGCATTTTACTAACCTCATTCCCTTTTTGGCCTGTAAGACACTTCAGAATTTCCTAACAGAGTTTACTGCTGTTTAGAAATTTGCAAGGGCTTCTTTTCTGCAAATGCCACCAGCAGATTATAATTTTGTCGACAATGCTGTTGTCTCCTTTTAGTCAGCACCAGACTTAGATCTGCATCATTGATGGTATAAATTTTACTCTTGCAAGATAACTACGTCCCTCTGCTCAAATGAGATCAGGTTAGCAAATGATAATAAAGCTTTGTTTTTTTCAAGACAAAGGCAAGCTTCCCCAAACTTGAATTTATAGTTATTACAAAAGAAAATAAAAACAGACAAAAACAACAACAACAAAAAAGACACAAGTTAAAAAAAAAAATCCTGGGCAATAAAAAAATTATTTTAAACCAGCTTTGGAGCCGCCTTTTGTCTGAGCCTCCTAATAGAGACTTTTAGTTTGTAGGAGGCAGGCTATACAAATAATAGATACAAAATAGAATAAGAACTAAAACACATCAGCAGATTTTAATACTAGTATATTGTAACGTCTTTTCTATCATGTAGAATCTTTGTTTCTGATAAGGAATGTCTCAGGCCTAGAAATATATGAAATTGCTTTGGGATTTTTGTGTATGTTTGGTATTTTTATGTTTTTTAGCTGCATGTGAATTTTTCTTAATTTTCTTTACATTTTTTTATTTCTTTTTCTCTCTCTCTCTCTCTCTCTCTAAGAGGCTTTGGAATGAGTTCCAATTTGTGTGTAAATATAGGCTTCTTGTTTTAGGAAGCATCACCTATACTCTAAAGCCTTTAAACTCTGAAGACAGTAATTTCAGAATTATTCCAAGCGTGTGGGCAACTCTGAGAAACAGACTTGGGTCATGGGAACAACTGACAGAATTCTGAAAAGATGCCATTTGTTTGCTTCTGATCTCGTATTATTATTGTTTACTGTACAATCTTCCCAAGGTGATTCCTGTCATTCTGCAGGCACTGGTGATTTTCTCATGTAGCCATCTTTTCAGTTATGTTAAACTGCTGAAATTCCAGCACTCTCAGCAACTTCTTCCTTCAGTGGCACACTTTTTTTCTTTCTCTAAAATGTGAAGCTTTAGGACCAAATTGTTAGAAAGCATCAGGATTATCAGTTACTTCAAGTAGATTTTATTGGATTTCAGAACACATAGCGTGGCTTTGAAGGATACTACTAACTACTATATGTTTTATATTTAAATAATTACTGTTTATGATATAGACATTACTGTTGAATATTTAAGAGAAACATTGTTAATTTTAAAGCTAGCAATCTGTTCATTAAATAAGGCGCATCAGGTTAACTTGAATAAAAACACTACGACAACCAGGTTTGCCAGTTTTCAGAAACTCTTTACTCTCTCACATCAAGTTTTGCAAATTGATGTTATACTAGAAAATAACAAAAAATTAATTTCAAATATATTTTTTCAAAAATATAGCTGCTTATCTTTAAGAAAGATGATATATCCAAAATCCTTTTCTGAATTATTTTTCTTTTTTTCTAGCATTTGATGTCTGAATAATTTTGGGTATCTTTTTATTTTACCTTATTTCTATATTAATCTTAAACCCGGTCACTCGATTTGCCTTCTGTAACCTGTTTATTTCAAGTGTCCACATTTGAATCTCTTTTGGAAGAAAGTAAATTTGATGTCCTCTGATTTTGAAAAGCCTGAATAAAATTGAAAAGAGAACTAAATAGATAACACCTTACTTTGTACTATAATTGGCATCATGGGAGAGAAAAGAATTATACTTAAAGTAAAAGCAACTTTTTACAGTCACCACATTGCCTTCTTTACAAATTCTGTAGTGATTGTATTGGTGGTATGATTAGAACTTGGGGTGTATTTTTTTTTTCAATATTAAAAATAAATTTAGTTCTACCCTTTTTCTTAAAGTATCTGTGGAATTATGGAATCTTAAAAAATGAATACATAATCACAGTAGAACTTAACCATAAGATGAAATGATGCAGTATTTATTGGTAGCCCTAATATATGGAATGAATGTTTATGACTCCTACCCAGATTTACATTGAACAGAAACAGATTGTATTATTGGAAGGGAGAACCACAATTAACAGTTGAAATTTTAAGGTAATGTTTTAAAAGCTTTACACCTGTTTACAATTGGAGATGAAAAGGAAGGCTTGATTTTTCTCATGTTTGATGAAAACTGGCTTAAACTATTTGTAAGTAGATTCATGAGCAAAAGTGTACAAACTTGCACATTAAAAAATGTAACACGTTATCTTGATTGCAGTAAAAATATTTACCATTATAAAAAATGAAAATTGGGAACTCAGCCAGTGAGTTGATTTTTTAAGTGAACCAGTTGTTGATATTATTGGGAATAACTGAGCCAAAGTGATTATGCGTTCTTCATCTATTTAGTTAGCACTTTGTACCATTATATACAGTTTACAATACATGTATAACTTCTAGCTCTAAACATTTTGTGTCATTAAAGCTCTCACTAAACTTTTTCTGTCAGTATATCATTTTATGTCATGTTTGTTGCCTGGGAGTATAGAGGAGATGAGGCCTCACGTGTCTACACAAAAATTTTCCATTATGAGTTCCACAAATATTTGAGGGCCTAACAATGTCCCAAGTACTATATGAATGAACAATACCCTTGCCCTCACAAGATTCCTACTCTCAAGGAGTTAATCACCACAAAATAGAATTATTTGTAAGTGCTATAGTAGAAGTGTGTAAAGAACTATGGGGTCATAACATTCAGAGGATGTGTTCTGCCAGGTAGCTTCAGAATGTTATTCACAGAGGAGGTGATATATTGAAAGATTGAATTAAGTGTTCGATAAATGCAAAAGGGAATTAAAGAGCATGCCCGGTAAAGGGAATTGCATGAACTGACATGTGACTGGAAAACACTTATGGATAAAGAGGAAACTGAGAATGTGGGTTAATATGGAACCAAATTGAAATTTATATGTCATGCCAGGGGTTGAATTTAATTGTATAGTTGCCCTATAAGGTTTTTTTTAAAGCAAGAAAATGATTTATGATTATGGCTCATGTTTGAGATAGCTATACCATATAGTGAAGAGGGGATACCAGAGGCAAGGGTATCAGTCAGTCCTCTAGGTAAGAACTAAGGGCCTGCCTTATTCCTTGGGGATGGGAAAGAAGGACCAGGGTAGATAGGAGAGACAAAGCTGAAGTAAACTGGTGATAAAATGATTGGAAGAGAAGGAAAGAATTTTTCCCCCTCCTATTTATTGATATCACTAACTGAAAAAATGAGTATCAAAGGAGGAGTAGGGTGATGGTGGGAGGGAAAGATGATTTCAATTTTGAATACATTGAATATGAAAGTGTGGGACATCTGGTTGAATATAACTAGTAGGCACTTACAGAACTAGAACTCGGGAGAAAAGTCTGAAGTGGAAATAAAGCACACACTCTCAGGCACACATGCATTATATATTGTAAGATAGTTAAAGATTTGACTATGGGGAGAGAAGAAATGAATTAATAAAATTACAGGGGAGCCCAATATTTGAAGATTGAGCAGAAGCTCAAGAAGGTGAGTAACATAGTCTGGTAGAAGAATCCCAAAAAAGTAGGAGGCAGTGGCCAGACCTTTCAAATTTCTTAGTTAAATAGGATAATTAAAGAGAAGCTTTTAAATTTGACAATTGGATCACTGCTGATATTTCCAAGAGTGTTTTCTGTAGGAGTAGAAGAGGGGTTCGGAGTAAGATTGCATTGGGTCAGTGAATAAATAGAAACTAAGACAGTGCGGGCTCTTCTCAGTAAAGTGTAATGAAGAAGAGGAGGGAGAACATCCTGAAGACGGGACGGGATGGCAGTATTATTTACTTAGGTAAGGATATAGAGATCAGAGTATTTTTGTAGACTAAGGAAAGAGAACAATGGGAAATATTAAAGACGTGAGGGAACAGTTAAATAATGGAATAAAATCTGGGAGGGAATATATTAAGGAAATCAGATGGGAGATTAATTAACCTTGGAAGGAGTGAAGAGGGACCTTTGGAGCCGTTAAAAGTTCACAGAACCTAAACATTTATGATAGGAAATGAAGAGGTTAAGTGAGAAACAGTGAAGAGAGATCTGTTAGGAGTGGAGGAGTTGAGGAAATCTACATTTCACAGCCTCTGTTCTTTCCATGAAGACTAGGTCTTTAAAGATGAGGATGGTGGAAATGGGGGCTGTTTTCCAGCAACATCTCCTGATTTGAAAGACCATCATTAAAGCGGAAATTCTTGAAACCTTGTAATTGTTGTTGCTATCATCCACCAATGCATCTAAAAGCAGCAGTCAATTTGACTGCTCTACCACTTTGCAGCCTAGTCGATTTGACTGATGCTTTTGTGCTTCAGCTCTCTTGTATGTAAAACCAAGGGGTTGGACGAGAAGATCTCTTAGGACTTTTTTTTCCTTTTTTCTTAATAGACTTTTTTTTTGAGCAGTTTTAGGTTTACATAAAAATTATGCAGAAAATACAGAGCATTCCCATATACCCCTCTTCCTGGGGCAGTTCCTCCAATTATTAACATCTCGCATTCCAGTGGTACGTTTGTTCCAGTGCATGAACCCGTATTGATACATTGTTATTATTAACTAAAGTCCATAGTTAACACTAGGGCTCACTGTTGTACAGTCCTATGGATTTTGACAAATGCATAATGTCACATGCTTTCGGACCTTTTAATTCTGTAATTTCTGTTAATAATGGTTCAGCCTAAAAAAGCAGCATTAGGAATGGCTGAATTAGTAATAGACATGTATATTTTATAAATATTCATTTATATTTGGGAGTGCAACAGGAATGTGTGTGTTTATTCTAAATGTCTACTTTTGTAAGTGGACCAAGATGATGGGCCAAAATGCAGAGAAAAATCTAAGTTCTGGATTCAGGTGAGCTAGATTCCAAATTGCCAATGCTTAATCTTTAATAAATCAGTAAGTCCCACTCTTAACATTTTAACTTTTGCTTGTTTTAGCCCTTGAATGATTTATTGTTCTTTGCTCCTTGAGGGGTATGAAGTTCAACATACTACAACTTTTGTTAACTAATTACAGGATTTAGTGAAGTCTTGATTTAGGGATAGAGAGAGAATTTGTAAAGATAACCTTGTGCTTTACTTCATTGATTATTGTTTCTTAGAATGATAAAAATACAAATATAGAGATCATGAAATTAGCCAGTTTACACATTAAAATCAAGGGAACAGTTCTGCCAAAGGCCTCGTTTCTCCAAATGAGAAAACAGAGCTCATCAGAAGTTAATGGGCAATAGGAATTCCTATGAATAACTGAAAACTGCTTTTTAAATTGTTTTAAATACACATAGTTTTCAATATTGTACCTTTCTAAGATTTTTAAAATATTTTACTGTTTCAGGTGGAAGTTTGCAGAGCAAATTAGTTTCCCATTCAACAAATTGTATACAAAGTGTTCCATGCAATTGGTTTGAATCCCCATACTGTGTCAGCACTCCCCATTTCCGCCTTGGGTTCCCCATTTCCTTTTGTCTGGTTTTCCTACCACTTCTGCCTTCTCATCTTTTCTTTTGGGCACGTGTTGCCCTTTTGGTCTTGTGTAATTATTTGTTCTACAGAGCACATTCTTTACAGGTGTTATTGTTTGTAGGCCTGTCCATTGCTTGGCTGGCAGGTGGTTTCTGGAATGGCTGCAGTTCCAAGTCAGAGGGGTGTCTTAGGGCCATAGTTTTGGGGGTTTGAAAACCACTTTTGAGCTGTATTTCAAAGGGTTTTGAATGAATGCTAATGGATAAGTTGCTAATCTATTTCTTAGACTTTGAAATGCAAATTTGAAGTTTGCTAGAGTGAAATGGATTTGGAAACTTGGGGTACAGGAAGAAGGACTACAAATCCTATCAGAAATTATTTGGTTACCACTTAGTAAAAGATAACGTCTGCAGCTTTTGCCATTCTTGAAATGCTTTACAAAACACAAAACAAAACAATAAAACCCTTTATCTCCTCAACTTCAATGAATTTTACCATTACTTAAAGGATATCACGTTCTCCTAATATGAGTAGGGAAAAAGCTCTGGACATATTTAATAAGGAAACAAAATTAAAAAGAAAAAAAACTCCAGAGTGATTCTGACACTGCCTTAGTCATCTAGTGCTGCTCTAACAGAAATACCACAAGTGGATGGTTTTAACAAAGAGAAGTTTATTATCTCACAGTCCAGTAGGCTACAAGTCCAAGTTCAGGGCATCAGCTCCAGGGGAATGTTTTCTCTCTCTGTCAGCTCTGGAGGAAGGTCCTTGTGATGCATCAGTCTTCCTTTGGTCTGGGAGCATCTCAGCGCAGGAACCTCAGGTCCAAAGGATGTGCTCTGCTCCCGGCACTGCTTTTCTTGGTAGTATGAGGTTCCCATGTGTCTCTGCTTGCTTCTCTCTTATATCTCAAGAGAGATTGGATTAAGACACGCTAATCTTGTAAACCTCATCAGTATAACCTCGTCATAGTGATAGAGTTTACAACACATAGGGAAATTGCATCAGATTTGCAAAATAGGTACACAGTCATTCAATACTGGGAATCATGACCCAGCCAAGTTGACAGATATTTTTGGGGGACACAATTCAATCCATGACAGACACATAGCCAAGTTTGTGACTCACTGATTGACAGATATGTGCTAATGATGCCTATAATTATGATCAATCCAGATCTCTACTGAATTCCAGACTCAGACATCTATTTGATACCTATTAGACATGTTTTGAACACCCACTGGTATTTCAAACTTAACATATCCTGAATTCATCTTCCCCACCTGCTCTGTTTTTTCCTTCCATGTGCCTGCTTGACTGTTTGTAAATAGCACAGGTATCCCTTCAGTTGCCCAAACCAGAAACTTGCCAATCATTCTAACTTTTCCACTCATACAGCCAGTCAGTCACCATTAATTCCACCTTCAAAATAACCTCACCTCCACCTACTTCCCCCCCTGCCCCACTTGGTTAATTCAGGCCACCATCCCCCTTTATTGTATCACTTTGATCACTTTTTTGAATCACTTCCTGTCTTCATGGCTCTATGCTTTTCTCAAGGCAGCCGCAGTAATTGTTCTAAAGTACAGATCCGATCATATCACGGTGCCACTTAAAACCCTTAACTGGTTCCCCATTGTCTTTGGGACAGAACTGAAGCCCCCTGAAATGGCTGCCAGAGCCCTTTATCATCAGGCCCTGCCTCTCTCCAGCCTCATTTCTCCCATGGAATCCCACCCCCACTTCAGTCATACTGAACATGTTTTCATGTTCTTCTAACACTTGGTTAGTAAACATCGATGCCTCTGCCAGGGATATTCCCTCCCCACCACCCCTTACTCTCACTCGTCGTTTTTCAGGGCTCAGCTTGGAGGTCACTTCCTCTAAGGAAGCTTCCTTGACATTCATCACACTGCTGCTTGCACTGAGTTAGGTGCCTCTTCTGCAGTCT